GGAACTGCACTACTTTCCAAACATCTGGAAAGTAGCAAAAATCATACCAATCCGCAAACCCGGTAAGGATCCAACATTGTCTTCAAGCTACAGACCAATCAGCCTCCTTTCAGCGCTGAGCAAATTGTTCGAGAAACTCATTCTCAATCGTTTGCTCAAGTTTGTGGAGGAAAGCAACATTCTCCTTCCGGAACAGTTTGGATTCAGAAAGGGGCACTCTACCAATCATCAGCTAGTACGGGTGATGAATAACATCCGAAGTAATAAAGCTGTATCCAAGTCCACAGCCATGGCCTTGTTAGACGTTGAAAAGGCGTTTGACAATGTTTGGCATGACGGACTTGTGTACAAGCTTTGTAACTTCAACTTCCCATTACATCTGGTTAAAATCACCCGAAACTACCTTCAGCAAAGGTCGTTTAAGGTATCGTTGAATGGTTGTCTTTCAGACACGTTTTCCATCCCAGCAGGAGTCCCGCAAGGCAGTCTGCTGGGCCCCTTGCTTTACAGCATTTACACTTCCGACATTCCTCCCCTCGGTGACGGTTGCGTGTTTTTCCTGTTCGCAGATGATACCGCAATAGCCGTCAAAGGAAGGATGCCTCGCGAAATAACTAACAAACTTCAACGATGCCTTAACGCCTTTGCTGATTATGCCACCATGTGGAAAATCAAAATCAATGCCTCCAAAACACAAGCGATCATGTTCCTCCATCGGCAATCGCCCAAACTGAAACCGGCTCCATCTTGTACTGTAATCATGGATGGCACAAGGGTTGAGTGGTCCGCCGAAGTAACCTATCTCGGGATGTTGTTTGATGAAAAGCTCCTCTTCCGTTCGCATGTAGAGAAAACAGTAGTCAAGTGTTCTGCCTTGGTTAGGTGTCTGTATCCGCTGATTTGCCGCAGATCTCGCCTCTCAAGGGTAAACAAACTGGCCGTCTACAAACAAATCATAGCACCTGCGATCCTCTACGCAGCTCCGGTGTGGGAATCATGTGCACAGACTCACAGGAACAAAATTCAGGTCGCACAAAATAGAGTGCTGAGGATGGTTCTTGATCGTCCTTTCGACACTAGAATAACAAATTTACACGAAGAGGCAGGAATTGCCAAAATAGATTCAAGAATTAACGAAATTAAGACTAAATTTGCAGAAAAATGTAATTTATCAGAACATGCTTTGATAAGCAACTTGTATATAGTAGGTTAGGTGCATATAGTAGTTGTAGGTTAGTTGTAGTTGTAAATAGTAGTTATAAGTAGTCTCCTTTTTCCAATTCAAATCAAACCAATCCCACCAAGGTGGTCATACTTTAAAATAGGCCTGATAGGACTAGTAACTGTAAATAATAATTAATATCTCAAATGAACTAAAGTTGAAAAGACGCATCTGTGTCACTTGAAAAAATTCATAAATGTAAACCACACAAACACAAGAAATAAAGATCATTTTAAGTCAAAAGTTTAAGTCTGTCGCTTATAGCTCAATCTCAAGGCTGTCGTAGGAAAAAGAAAGCGACAGCCGTTGGAATACTGTCATGAGGCGGTACTTTTGGTATGACTCTCGGCAGCACATTTTTGCACACACGAGAAAAATGTATCTCTGTGTGTAACTGTATACCGACTTAATAATAGGTATATAGTATTGATAGCAGTGGTTGATAGGGATAGTAGTGGTGGATCTTCGATAGGAGAGTACTGTACATGTACAGCAGATCAGATCTGATAGTCAGTGATCTCCAACATCTTGGTTGTGTCGGTCGTCGTCCGAAGAATATACAGTCCATTCGATTTGATTAGATTTTTAGTGTTTGTTCTTTACGGTCGCAATAAAAGTCAGTGTCACTTAGAACAACATACTTTTAATCTCAATCCGAACGCACGATAACTATTACGTGAATGATCCGCGGGGACCAGTTCCGACTAATGAAGATTTCGTTTAACACCACCTTATGCGGGTATATTTTAATAAGTTCCGCTCCGATATACAGCATAAAATGAAAATTACTATCACATCAGAGAGGATGCACGTCAACCACGTTGAAAATATGGTGTGCTTTTAATAGTCACTATATAGGAAATAAATGACACTGCCGAAATTCCATCGATCTAATTCAGAACCAAGGAGACGCATGGTTGTTCATACTGATGTGCTGATTTTATGATTTCATGACTCGATAGAAATTTTATTTTTATTAAAACCCACATCCCCTCGTCGTTTTTATTAGACTCGGAACTCGGCTTGATCTAAAGGGTGTATACGTGGAAAACGACACATACATAAACAGCCGTAACTTTTGAACTAGTGAACCAAATTAATTAGAAATTTGATTCATGGATGATGTTTTAGAGAGTAATACATAAGTTTAGATCAAGAAACAAAATGATGTCTTAAATATTTTGTACAGTGGCCAAAAACAGTATTTTGCTTACTTTTGCTTATTTTTTTCACTCCATGTTCAATTTATTCACTGTTTATGAATCTTCAAGTAGTGACAGAAAAACTGTTTTTGTTTGGCGTAAAACGATTGAGTTTTTATTTGTTTCGTTATTTTGACCCAAAGTGAAATTTCTGACTAACTGCACAATATTTTGAATTATAATATTTTGTAAAAAATGTTTTAGTTCCAAGATTGAATTCCTTCCATAGTCGCCGCTCAGTATGTACGTTATGGACTAAGCATTCGTCATTGAAAATTTCAAGTCATTTGTTATAATAGTTTAAAAAGTTACAGCTATTTATGTGTGAGCCATTTTCCACGAATCCACCCTTTAATCGCCTTGGTGTCTTGTGAGCCAATCGGCTTTGTTGGAAATTATTATCTATCTGCCTGTGGTCGAACCTGTATAGCTAGCTAGGTGAAGCCATTCTCTTTCAGTTCAGGAAGAATCGTTTCATTGCCGATTTTATGCTGTGCTCGATGCTTAAAATTGATGATCTGGCACCATTTCTCGACTCAGTCTCGGCGCTGATGGCTGGCTTTAATGGGAAATCTTATGGCTCTCGGTTGTAAAATCTCTGAACGGTCGAAGCAATATTGGGGTGGAAGCTTCGGTCGTCTTCGAAGATAATTAAATTAATTGGAAATCTCGTGGTTCGGAGGTGTTCTCGCAAGAAACGGTGCGGTTGCGGTCGTAATTAAAAGTACCAGAGCTGATTCCGTTTTCTCGAAATGAACTTCCTGATTGATTGATGCTTTCAATAGGATCATAAACATAAACTTACTCACGGATTCTTCCAAACAGGGACATACCTGGAAATAAACAAACCAAATGACGTGATTAATTCAGTGTTCATAACAAAAAGTCCCCATCGTTTCAATAATTTCTCAGAAGAAAACAAAAATTACAGGACAAACTGGAAGCAACCAACTTCTCATCGAGCAAAGTTGTCCGACTTGTTAAGTGCTTTCGCAATCCACTTAGTTATACATCGCCCCCGACAAGCTAACCGCACTTTGAAAGCTCATCTGACTCCCTCCCTGTCTTCCCCTGTTCCCAGCAACGAAGTTTGAGGTTAAGTGAAAAGGCAGCAGAAGCAGAGCCAGCGGCAAGATTTATCGCTGATACATGATGCTTAAATTAGTATTTTGATTAATAAAATGATTTATTCGATTACGTAACTGTGCTGACTCTCGATTCGCTCTCTGGCGCTGTTGAAGTCGCTCACACACTCAGAAATAAATATATCTTTTTCCTGAGACCATTCCTCTTTTTTCGGATCTCCCGTCGTAGGAAGCAAAAAACCGTATCCATATATAACGAGAAGGAATCAATTTCCAGGCAACAGCAACCGAAGAAGATGGATTTGTCGATATCAGCTGGTGTTTCGATGGGGATTATTTGGCTGGAAATGGAACAATGGAAATGCGAAAGATATACTTTATTCTGCTCTCCTCAAACGGCTGGGAGGGTGGTCTTTTTCCTCTTGTTCTGTTATTTATTATCCGATTTAGATTCAATTATAGTTGTGATGGAGAAAGGGTCTTGAGTAGACGGAAATCGATCAACGAGTATTTCTTATAAGGTGTGATGAATTTGAACGACCTCAGAAATCTGGTCTTTCTCCGCCCTTGGTGTTTTCGAACGCGTATCATCTACGGCGGACTGCATATGGATGACGGAACTTGGAGGAGGCGAATGAACCACGAATTTCACCAACTGCTGGGAGAACCATCCATTGTACACATTGCAAAAATCTAGCGACTACGGTGGGCTGGGCACGTCGTAAGCATGCCGGACGACGACCCAGTTAAAATGGTTTCCGAATGCGACCCAACAAGAAGAAGCGGCGCGCAGCGGGCAAGGTGGATCGACCAGGTATAAGGCGACCTGTGGACCCTTCGCAGACTACGATGCTGCGGACGTGTGGTCATGGATCGCGTAGAGCGGAGACGACTTCTTCGGACAGCAGAGGACATCAAGGCCTTAAACTGATTGGTAAGGTAAGTAGATTTGGTCATGCCGGAAGGTTTCATTTAATTCAAGCTTGAATCTGCTTTGTCGCTATAGTAAACTGAAAAATTAGTTTAGTTGAACTGAAGTAGGATTTGCATTTTTGTTTCTGGCAAATTTTATAAATTGCTACTCATGAATATCATGAAACATGTAGCTGGATGCGATAGTGTCATTTAGTTTCGAATCAAATGCATTGACATGGACATACGAAATGAATTTATCTCTTGCCTAACCCGCAAACTCAACCACGACTTTAATTCAAGTTCATTTTGATAAGCTCTTCACCGCAGATAGGAGATAACGGTTCCCTTTCGGTTTACTTTAATTGTTATGCTGGCCAACTGAATTTACATTGAGATAAATCACAAAAACACGACAAACAAAACAAACATTCGGAATGAACAAGAGAACGAGAGCGCGAAGTGTGTGTTTGATGGTTCTTCATCTACTTGAGCGCATGCTTTTCAGTTCAAATCTAACTCTCTGCTCGGCAACACATCCTTGCTGAATAGTCAAAACCATGAAATCCCTAGGCTTTTGATTTGATTTTGAAAATGTCCACTCGAAAAGTGATCATCGACGTCGACGTCGGTACGGACGATGCCTGGGCCTTGTTGCTACTGTTGAAGTGCGAAGAGACGTTCAACTTCAAGCTGGAGGCCATCACCTGTACACACGGCAACACGGACGTGCACAACGCTACCCGGAACGTTCTGCGCATCCTGACGGCCATCGGTCGGACGGATGTTCCGGTGTACAAGGGAGCTGTAGAACCGCTGATTACACCTCCGCCGAAGCGCGAGAGACACTTTCACGGATTGGACGGACTTGGGGATCTGAATTTTGAAGATCCGGACGAGGCGTTAATTCAACCGGAGCATGCCGTCAACGAATTGTACCGGAGATTGAGCGCTGATCCGGGAAATATATCGCTGATTTTCGTAGGACCGCTGACGAATCTCGCACTGTGTGTGAAGATGTATCCGGATGTGCGTGGAAAGATCAAGGACCTGTACGTTATGGGTGGCAATCGACACGGAGTAGGCAATGTGACCAAGAGCGCTGAGTTCAATTTTTGGTTTGACGCGGAAGCAGCAAACATCGTGTTCAACAATCTGCAGTGTCCGATCACGCTACTTCCGTGGGAGACGTGCCTTTCCGAGCATCGGGAACTGGCGATGAGCTGGAGGATGGATGTCGTGGGGAAGACGACCAACAAGGCCGTGCTGATGTTGAACCAGGTGGAAAACAAGTGCTACGGTCACCGGGAGAACTGGATACCGTGCGATGCGTTCGTCGTGGCCGTTTTTATCAAACCGGACATTGTGGTTCACTCGGAACATTGGCACGTGGATATCGAGCTGGCGGGAACGTTGACCAGAGGCCAAGCGGTGTTGGACCACAAGAAGAGGACAAAGGAAAACACGAGGATCGTTGACAGGATCGACACGGAGTATTTTAAGCGCATGATGTTGTTCGCGGCCGATCATGATGTTGAAGATTAGCTTTGAAATTGGAATAAACGTAAGGATTCAAAATGTTTTTATTTTATTTTCTACAACAGGTAAATTATCCTGATAGTACACAGATTGGATATTAATATAATCAATACACAGTGGGCCAGATAAGCCATCTAGATGGTAACTCCTCGGGATGACGTCGTAGCAATTTGATGTCTTGTGCACAGTTGTTTAGTTATACAAGGCCTACTTATTTGTTGGATATTCACGATAAAGTGTTGTTTTGTATCTTTTGAACTAAGCATTTTCCAGTCGGCGCCGCCGGGATGTTCTGAGGCATAAAATCTCTGAGGGAAGTAAAGCCGTTGGTCCCCGGTTCATGAGTTGATGGGTCGATAGGTAGGGTCCAGGTGTGGGAGCTACCTCCCTGGCGTCGGTAGCATTGGTGCTCAGCACGGAAAACAAGATCGACGGAAACAAATCAAGGAATAAAAATTAATCATTTTAGCGACTTGGTTCCTTGGATAAAGTTGTCTCTGAGATTAAGTTGCTGAAGACGTCGAAACTGTCAGAGCTATTTAATGTCAATTTGTTGTTGCTTTTGTAAATTTACAGCAAAAATGTAATTAAAATCATTTTATTTTATTTTTCCCTCCACACTATATTTTGTGGGAGAAAACGAATCCGGGCATAAGTCCTTGGAATCTTTTTGAAAATACTAAAAGGAGGATTACAATTAAATCTGAGAATAACTCCAGAACATCTTCAAAGGAATTCGGAAAATAAATTCAGGAAAGTTTGCCAAACAAATTATGAGAATAAATCTAAAGAATTTGTGAGGAGGAATGCCAATGAATTCTTAGGAGAATTTCAATGTGATCTACTAATTCCAAGGGGAAAAAGGGATCTGAAATGAATTCAATTTATATTCGGAGAATCTTTCCAAAGGGTTTATTATTGTGGTGAATTCCAAGATATTTCCGAGGAAAACTAAAAGAAAATTGAATTCGAAGCTTCATCGAAATGTTGCGGTATATTTCAATGGAAATCAGAATGGACTATTCTGAGGTCTACTACTTGAAAGTTCCAACATTTGTCCTGAAGTTAATGAAACTCCCTTGTAAAGGAAAATCTCTTGTAAAGGTTCAACAATTCGCTGAAGTTCTCTAAACTTCTTTAAAATTTATGTCACTTCTCTAATATTAACGGAACGGAATGCTATGAGGTTCTCTGTTCTTTTCTGAAATTCTCAAAACTTCTCTTAGGCTTTTGCAGTTCATGAAGCTTGTTGTACTGCGCTGAATTTAATTGAACCATCCTAAAAAATTTTAAGCTTCACTGAACTTCTAAACTCATGGGAAGAGCTCAATTAAATTTTAAACGTATCTAAAGTTATCTGAAAATCTGGGAACTGGCTTAAATTTTCACTAATTTTAGTTTTAAGGGAACTGACCTCCCCCTGAACTTCCTCCAATTTTCGGAGCTTACAAAACATCTTTCAAATGCTCCTAAAAAATTCCTAAATTTCATGGATCTCCCCTTAAGCTCCATAGATTTCTATGAAGTTCTCGAAATGTTTCTGAAGATCACTGTCCTTCTGTGAAGTTATAAAAGTTTTCTGGAAGTTTTGTGCTCCCGCAATTTTCATGGAATGAGAACGACATAATTAATATAGTTCTATGATTTTCTCTGAAGTTCTCAGGATTTTGTGAAGTTCACGAAATTTCCCGTAAATTATTTTCCCTAATTTAAAACTTTTTCAATAGTCTAAACTTTCCTGGTGGTATTCAAAATGTCTAGACGATTATTGAATTTCCTCAAAGTTCCCTAGACTGCCCTAAATATATCAGTATTTTTAAGAACCCGCAACTTTACTGAAATTAAGTTATTTGCATTGAAGTTTCGACAATTTTCCTTAAGTATTACAATTTTTCCTGAACTTATCTATGCTTACCTGAAGATCTCTAAGTTTGTTTGATAATCCTTCAAATTTTCTGATATATATTCATAATTCCCTGACGCTTCTGACGTTTTCGGACCAATCATATAATTCTTAGAATACCCCATACCTCCACGGAACTCCGTAAGTCGCTTCAAATTTGCTTAAAGGTCATGTACCTAGAAGGCCATGGGACCGTCCTCCGCAAGGTCTAGAACATCTTTAAAAATGGAAAATCCTCGAAACTGATCCTAGAGTTCTACGGTTTTTTTTTTCGAAAGCATGCGATATAAGAAAGATTTTGGTGTCATGACATAAACATGGACCCAAATGGCCATCCTCTGTTAAGTCCAGAACATCCGTAAAAGAGGTCAATCAATGAAACTGATCCTAGAGCTCGGCAATTTTTTTTTTCAAAAAACATTAGGAACTGTGATATAAGAATGAATTTGTGGTCGTGACTGAAACATGTACCCAGCTAGCCATGGGACCGTCGCCCGGAAGATCAACAACATCCGTAAAATGGTCACACCATAAAATTGAGAGTTGGAAGCATTACTATGACGAGCACCTCAACGGTGATGCAGCAGAAAATGAGGGTGGCACGGCAACAGACCTTGGAGCACTGGCAGAAAACGACAGGCTTCCGGCCCTCTGATCTGCAAAAAGTTGAGGAGGAGATCGGTCGGCTGAAGAACAACGAAGCAACTGGTGTAGATCAACAACCAAGTGAGCTATTAAAATACGGTGGTGAAGCACTGGCTCGAGCGCTGCACTGGGTAATTGCCAAGATTTGGGAGGAGGGGATACTACCGGAAGAGTGAAGCAAGGTGTTGTATGCCCAATCTACAAAAAGGACGACAAAAAGGGATTGCTGCAACTACCACGCGATCACAATGCTGAGCGCCGCCTACAAGGTACTCTCCCAAATTCTATGCCGCCGCTTGTCACCATTTGCAAGATAGTTCGTGGGGCAATACCAGCCAGGATTCATGGGTTCATATTCGCGATTCGGCAGGTTCTGCAGAAATGCCGCGAACACAACTTGCTTACACATCATTTGTTCATCTATTTCAAATCCGCATACGACACAATCGATCGTGATCAGCTATGGCAGATTATGCACGAGTTCGGATTTCCGAATAAACAAGGCGACGATGGATCGAATGATGTGCGTTGTTCGACTATCGGGGACGCTCTCGAGTCCCTTTGAATCTTGAAGGGAGTTACGGCAAGGTGATGGACTTTCGTGTCTGCTATTCAACATCGCGTTAGAAGGTGTGATCAGAAAAGCAGGGATAGACACGAGTGGCACAATCTTCAGGAATTCCATCCAGCTTCTTGGCTTCGCCGATGACATCAACATCATGGCACGGAACTTTGAGACGATGGCGGAAACGTACATCAGACTGAAGACTGAAGCTAGGCATTGGCACGGTCATCGCATCAAAGACAAAATACATGAAAAGAAGAGATTCGAGGTGGTCGAAGAGTTCGTGTATTTGGGCTCACTGGTGACCGCCGAAAATGATACCAGCAGAGAAATTCAAAGACGCATTATGGCAGGGAATCGTGCCTACTTTGGACGCCGGATGACGCTGCGGTGGTCCTCTACAGCCACGAGACCATTACTATGTTCGTGGAGGACAAACGCGCCCTTGGTGTTTTTGAACGCAACCTTCTACGGTGGAGTGCAGATGGATGACGGAACGTCGAGAAGGCGAATTGCACCAGCTGTTTGGAGAACCATCCCACATTCCCAAGTAACCAACAAGCCCGTTAATCGCCCTTTTTGGCATATAAGACTGCTATACGACTTATATAAAGTTCGGAAACCCTATCGCAAAAAGGGCGATTATCGGGTAGTTAGCGGGCTTGGGGGTTACTTGGGTTGTTCACATTGCAAAAATTGGGCGACTACGGTGGGCTGGGCATGTCGTAAGAATGTCGCACGACGACGCAGTGAAAATGGTTCTCGAAAACGCCCCAACAGGAAAAAGAAGAAGAGGTGCGCAGCGGGTAAGGTGGATCGACCAGGTAGAAGGCGACCTGCGGACCCTTCGCAGACTACGAGGCTGGCGAAGTCTGGCCATGAATCGAGTAGAGTGGAGACGACATCTTCGGACAGCAGAGGACAACAAGGCCTTAGCCCGATTGCAAGCAAGCAAGCCAAAAAATTGATCCACGAACGAAAAAACCGTGGAAATGTGATATTAGAATGAATTTGAGGTCTTAACATAAACATGGAACAGGCCTCCGAAAGATCCGTAAAAGTGGTCCATCCATGATACTGTTTCTAAAGATCCGTAGTTTTGTCGAAAACACTTCGAACTGTGATATATGGAAGAATTTAGGGTCGAGACATCAACATGAACCTGGATGGCCATTGGACCGTCCTCCAGAAGATCCGGATCATCCGTTAAAGTGGATCATCCATGAAACTGTGAAAAAACCGTGGTTTTTATCGAAAACTCTTGGAGCTGCGATTTAATATAGAATTTAGGGTCGTGACATAAACATGGATCCGGATGGCCATGGGAGTGTCCTCAAGAAGATCCAGAACATCCGTAAATTTGTCATACTGTGAAACTGATCCTAGAGCTCTGCAGTTCTTTTTTAAACACTGTGATATAAGAAACCACTGGATCACTTTTACGGATTTTCCGTATCTTCCGGAGGACAGTCCTATGGTCATCCAGGTGCATGTTTTTGTCACGACCACAAATTCTGTCTTATATCACAGTTCTGAATGTTTTTGAAAAAAAAAAACTGCGGAGCTCTAGGATCAGTTTCAATGATTGACCTCTTTTACGGATGTTCTGGGCTTAACAAAGGATGGCCATTTGGGTCCATGTTTATGTCATGACCCCAAAATCTTTCTTATTTCGCAGTTTCACATGCTTTCGAATCAGTTTCGAGGATTGACAATTTTTAAAGATGTTCTAGATTTTGCGGAGGACGGTCCCATGGCCTTCTAGGTACATGTTTATGTAACGACCGCAAATTAATTTATATATGACAGTTCCAAGTGTTTTCGAAAAACCGTGGAGCTCTAGGATCAGTTCCATACATTGAACACTTTTACGGATTTTTCGGATCTTCCGGAG